ATGAATTACTGAAAAGTAGAAAATAAAACAACTAAATAGCGGCGTATGATACGCTGCGAGTCGGCTCGTTTTTTATATTCATAATGCAAAACTGCAGCTAAAATGAAATTTTGTTTCAACCCATTTTGGCGCCCCCTAAGGTCGACGCCCGGTGATATGTGTACCCCCCCCCCCTCTCGCTACGCCTCTGTTTTGTACACGTTATTACAGGACATATTTTTTTAAATTTTTTAACCGTCCACACGAGCGCACTGCTTCAGAATACACCCATTTAGTGCATTTCTTCACTTGTAATATCAAGTGTACTTGTAGTACCATACAACACTAAGTACCACTCTAGTGCACCCTTCTCCCCTTCACTCAAGTAATCTTGAACCCAGTAACTCCATTCAACAGAGACAAAACTCTCAACAACCTGCCCTTTTTGTTTTGATGTTCGTCTAGACTTTAATTGATAATCAAAATAACTTGATGTCAAGAGGTACGTAAGATTCACATTTTATCAAAAAAACGTGTACTGGGAATCATCAAACAACAAATGCAGGAAGTTATGCAGATGTAATCCAACCTAATGGTTGCATATCTTACTTTTAAATACTAAATAAATGTTACATCATACTTCGTATACACTTCGCATACGCTACATACTACATCCACTATTTCGAATATCGGCATATACTTTTGAGCATTTTTTTTGTATTAACTTGTATCTGGTCTTCAGGTTTACCCAAAACAAATTCTGATAAAGCCGAAAATATTTCCCATTTTATTTGTGTTTGAAACATCTGCAAACCAACAGCGCCCACATATACTCGCTAGCATATGTTTCATGTGCACTGGGATTACAATTCCACTTACCATCAATCACTGCACACACAAAAAAAAAATACAATTTTGAAATGTTATTGTTCGCCTAATTTCACTTGATAATACATAATCTTTTCTCCCTCCCCCCCCCCCTAACTGTCACGCGGTCTGTTGACATATGTTTAGCATTATAACTTTTAAAAAATAAACAATACTTCAAATCCCATATTCTATGTGGATTTTTTTTTTTTAAATATGGTCGAAAGATGGGAATCGAAATAAACATGGGTAACTTGGTGAAATTGGATTTTAAAATATAGTTGCAACAGGTATTTCCACTCTACCGTCCATACAATTTTTTTTTGGACAAACGTGTCATCTCCATTGTTGCCATTGTCTCCCCCTTGTGACGTAATCTAGTCCCCCTAAATCATCCCCTCGCCCCCCCCCCCCCCCTAAATGATTACCAGACCAGCCACAGATAACCCATTTCCCATAGATATCCAATCCCATCCGCGACAGGTTGGATAACTCATGCGCAAGAACAATAACTCCCTTTGTCGTGTAAGCTGTCAGCAGGTTATGGCCCTTGAGAAACCAGGGGAAATAATTTGTCGGCCTTTGTTATGCGCGTTTGACCTGTTGGTAAGTAAATCCTTCCGACCTCCATACCGCACTACGATGGTGTTTCACAGCGCACGTAGAGTTTTCGTACGGAAACCACATTACACATACAGGGGCATGAATTGATACTAGTTTAATATCAGTGGTGGTGATGACGGGGGGGGGGGGGTAACACTACTTATATACAGGGGAGTAATACTAATTTTATACTAGGAGCGCAACACTAATTTGATACTAGCGATGTAATGCTAGTTTGAGAAAAAAGGACGTAATATTAGTTTGATAAAGGAACGTAATATATATTTGATATATGGACGTAATATTAGTTTAATAAAGGAACGTAAAATATATTTGATATATGGACGTAATATTAGTTTGATAAAGCAACGTAAAATATATTTGATATATGGACGTAATATTAGTTTGATAAAGGAAAGTAATATATATTTGATATATGAACGTAATATTAGTTTGATAAAGGAACGTAAAATATATTTGATATATGAACGTAATATTAGTTTGATAAAGGAACGTAAAATATATTTGATATATGGACGTATTATTAGTTTGATAAAGGAACGTAAAATATATTTGATATATGGACGTAATATTAGTTTGATAAAGGAAAGTAATATATATTTGATATATGAACGTAATATTAGTTTGATAAAGCAACGTAACATATATTTGATATATTGACGTAATATTAGTTTGATAAAGGAACGTAATATATATTTGATATATGGACGCAATATTAGTTTGATAAAGGAACGTAATATATATTTGATATATGGACGTAATATTAGTTTGATATAGGGACTTAAGGCTTGTTTCGTACTAATAACAGTAAAGTACCCTTAAAAACACGTCGGTCCCCTGAGCAGGTGAAGTAGAGTTAACCTATGCCTAGTCCCCTAAGTAACTTGAGTCAGGTACTCATCAGAGCTGGGGGGACTAATGAACGTATAATGGGCTAGAGCCAAGGATCCGAACTCGAGGATTTCGGGTCAGCAGTCGTTTGATCTACCGTCCGACCACGCCTTCCCATAGTTTAATAGTTGGGGCGTAACAGCGTATAAAATAAACGATTAGGATAGTTATAAATACTTTAACAGGACCTAATCGATACTTTTCAGAAATGTTAACGAACAAGGAGTGTTTGACTATTTTGTGATACAAAAACTATTCTAATAAATTTTTATTTTATTTTATCCAATTAATTAAATTAAATTAGAAAGATGTCCCGCATTTATTGTACACTTGACATTCCAGTATTCAAAAAAAAAAAACATTTCACCTGGGGGCTGACACCCCCTCACTCGACCCGCACCACCAATGTAACGCCACTGCAAGTTTTAATCAACATTCTTCACACTTAATGACCAACCACATGTATGCATGATCCCTTATCGCTGGGACTAATATGCTGTGACCTTATCGACCCCGAAAGTTGAACTCTTGACCTCCGTCTAAAGGTTTGTAAAATCTTATCAGTTGTTCCGTGAAGGTATAGGGAGAGACTCGCTGTTTTAAATGTTTTACTAGGTTGGTTGTGGAGGGATGTGGTTGGTTTAGATAGTAGTGGTGGTGGGATGTGGTTGGTTTAAATAGTAGTGGTGGTGGGATGTGGTTGGTTTAGATAGTAGTGGTGGTGGGATGTGGTTGGTTTAAATAGTAGTGGTGGAGGGATGTGGTTGGCTTAAATAGTAGTGGTGGAGGGATGTGGTTGTTTTAGATGGTAGTGGTGGTGGGATGTGGTCGTGCGATGTGGTTGGTTTTGATGTCGTGGTATCTATGTTCTGGTTGAGTAACAGAATGATTTTTAGAGTTTAACACATATAAATAGCAGGACTAAAGAGTAGACTCCATTGTTCGACCTTACGGGCGGGGTGGTCTCGACTTGATGGAGGACTGGTGGTTGTGTTGGCTGTTTGGTGGTTCTTTGTGAAATGTCATGTCTAGTACGGCGTCATGTGACTTAACGCTGTTCCAGTCATGTGACTTAGGGGTCATCCATATATGACGTCACACTTTTTTGACGATTTTTACCTCACCCCTCCCCTCCGTCACACGTCGTCTAAAAAAAATCCAGACCCCCCCCCCTAAAATGACGTCACACCTCAGCCTACAAGCCCCCTCAAAATTGCTGTTTAATTTTTCTTAAAACATATTTATTTTTCTGAAATCTTGTCAGAACTCTGTCAACATTGAATATTTCGATCTATTCTTATTACAATTTATTAAAACAGTTTTCTAAAACGTGAAATAACCGCTAAAACTCGTTTTATAACATTACTTTTTTTAAAATGCAAAAAGTGACGTCACACCATCTGAACCCCCGCCCCTCCACAAAATTACGGACCCCCTCCCCACTACTAGTGTGACGTTATATACGGACGACCCCTTAACACTGTTCCAATCATGTGACTTAACGTTCGTCCAATGATGTGACTAAACATTGGCCAAAATATGAAACTTCAGGCTGGTCCAATCGTGTGACTTGGCCCAGTCATGAGACTTAAGACTATTTCAGTCATATGATTTAGTGCTGATCAAGTCATGTGACATATCTGTTCAGCCGTATGATCTAATATTAACACCCTCTATTGCGTTACCCTGACCTGAGTCTGGAACATCCATTTGACCTGATACAAAAGCGAACCAACAGTTACGACCATTCACGAAAAGTTGTAGTTTTCTTACGTGATCTGACGTATATTATTTTAAAGCAAGGATATCATGTATGTTGTTGATTTTGTTCGTGTTGAAAACTCCACTAGAGCATCTTGCAGTATGTTGTATATTACAATCTTCTTCTTCTTCGTTCTCAATTGTAACGTTGGTGAGATTTCTCGTCAACACAATTAAGTGTTACGTGTCAAGCTGTTATGTACCATATGTATGGTGTCTCCGATTTCAGCCTGCTTTTCTTTTATGGATTTGTGTCCTTAGGCTTTGATCAAGAACAAACTACAAGACATCAGTAGTTTAATTCTTGAGTTTTCTCTACCAGGTGGCTTGCGATTTCAGCCTTATTTTCTTTTTGGATTTGTTTCCATAGGCTTTGATCAAGAACAAACTACGCGACATCATTAGTTTAATTCTTGAGTTTTCTCTACCAGGTGGCTTGCGATTTCAGCCTTATTTTCTTTTTGGATTTGTTTCCATAGGCTTTGTTCAAGACCAAACTACACGACATCATTAGTTTAATTCTTGAGTTTTCTCTACCAGGTGGCTTGCGATTTCAGCCTTATTTTCTTTTTGGATTTGTTTCCATAGGCTTTGTTCAAGACCAAACTACACGACATCATTAGTTTAATTCTTTAGTTTTCTCTACCAGGTGGCTTGCTGTCCCCAGCTATCGAACCTCAACCCGAACTCGGGACTTAACAGTATAGCAACCCACCCGACCACGCAGGTTCCTTTTTTTGAAACCCTTTACCAACAGTGAAAATAACTGTTTTACAATTGATCAAAATACTACTTTGTTATATCAAACTGCACAAAGATGTTTTGAAAAAATGAAAAAATAATAAACAACTGAATATTAATAGCATTTAGGTATTTTATTAAAAAAATATTGAATTACATTTTCATAGATTCGTCTGGGATTGCAACTAAAAAGAGAAACAATAGCATTATATTCGAAGTCGTTTTCGAAGTACGTCTCTAGTAAATAAAGTAATCGCGTTTCACAATTGTACACTATAGTTATTGGGGTAAGCAGTCCTATATTTTAAGGACAATAATAATAAGGTAGAGGGGACAGCGTAGTCAAATGGGTTGGCTGAAGTTTCGAGTTCGGGTCTCGGTTAGGACTTTCCTGAGTCCATCCAGCTTAATGTGGTACATGACCTACGTTGGGGAAAGTAAAGCTGGATAGGTATAATGCTGCCCACACTATCCCTTTATATGCTGAAGTCAAGACACATATAAACTCTACTTCATCTGCTCAATGGATCGCTATAGTTTTTAGTTTTTCAATGGAGTAGCTTTTAATTATTTTGTATTTGTTTATTTTCATTGGGGGTGCAGTGATAAGTGCTTAAAAACCGTTGTTTCAATACTTTATATAAGGTAGAGTTTAAAAAAAATGACAATTGATGAAAACTATTGACAAATCAAGGCGTTATGATAGGTAGAAAATCAAAATGTATTTTTACAAATGTTATGGTATGTACCATGCTATATGGAATGTTCCGAACATTTAAAACATTCTAGTTAAGGCCACATATATCACACACAACGCAACATTCGCTCCGTGTTAGATGTTCATAAACTAGTTACTTATTCATTCGATTGACACTGATGATAGGTGAAGTAGAGTGGATGAGTTAATATAATTTTAGCCTGTTTTTGTCAAACTGCTGAGAATACTTAGTGACTTTGGAATGTTCGTGTAAAGCTAAATACAAATAAACATAAAATGGTTTAATTCATCAACAACGAGAATAGTTAAAGAATAACAACTGCGTCGTTCTTCAACACTATGTATCCAATTCTTGTCTCACCACTTGTCTCACTACCTGTCTCACCACTTACATTACCCTTTGTTTGACCAATTCTATGACCCATTATCTCACCATTTGTCTCACCACTCCTAGCCCCCCTTTCTCACACTGCAAGTTTCACTACCACACCCAAGCTAGCAGACGACGCACTGGAATCAAACCCGGAAGTCATGTGATCACCAGGTGATCGAGTCACCACGGCTGGACAGCGTGGAGTGTCACCAGTAGCAGCCCGACCAGCAGCAGAAGTCGAGCAGACGTCGTCGTGCAGGAGTTCATCAGCTCAGTGGTAGCTGGGTCGTACTGTACCTGGCCACCTGGGGAGGTGCGGTAAGGAGGGGGGGGGGGGGGAGGAGGGAGGTGTTAAGATATTTTTTTTTTAAATTCTTTAACTATATTCTTTTGTGTAAGCGCCCACCTTTCAATGAGAAGATAATAGGGCTGGTAAGTAGGTCACCAACCAGTTCTATGGCTCGTGCAGGTTTTATAGAGCCGTTGAACTGTTTGGTGACCTACTTACCAGCCCTATTGCTATATTGAATATTCATGTATTTTATTACATGTCCTTTAAAAAAAAATATTTTAAAATTTTTCACACGAACTTAGGTCCACCTCAACTCGCCCAGTCTAAGGAAATCATCTTGGCTGTTCTTGTAGTCTCCTACCAAGGATTAAGTCACTTCTTGTAAATCCCCAACCTGTAATTTTTTGATGATTCTCCCCCCCCCCCTCCCAATCCCCAGTTTCCGATGCTCACCCAATATAAAGAAGACATCAGAGCTCTTCTTGAAGTCACGCCCCTTTTGTGAGGACTTTGGGGGTTCTTTTTTGTTGTCCCACCCAAGTTGTAGACCAACACTGGTGTCTTGTAGAGCCGCCTACTGTCGTTAATGAACGCCCCCTTGTGACGCCCATGCTGTAAGACAACACCCGCGCCTTGTAGACCGTGTGACGTCATGTGTCCCCCCCCAACCCCAACCCTGCCCCGCCCCCCGAGCCCCCACTCACCTAATGTGAAGAAGACATCCGGGCTCTTCTTGCCGTCCCCGCCCAGGCTGTAGACAAGCACCCTTATCCCAAGTTGACCCTCCCCCCTCGTTATAGATGTGTGGCTTCAATTATGGACACCCCATCCCCTCCCCCGATCTGGATGTGTGGCGTCATGGATGCCGCCCTACCCCCTACTCACCTAATGTGAAGAAAACATCCGGGCTCTTCTTGCCGTCCCCGCCCATGCTGTACGCCAACACCCGCGCCTTGTAGACCGTATGACGTCATGTACCCTCCGCCCCACCCCCCGACTCACCCCCCACCCCCCCACTCACCTAGTGTGAAGAAAACATCCGGGCTCTTCTTGCCGTCCCCGCCCATGCTGTATGCCAACACCCGCGCCTTGTACACCGTGTCCCTCTCGATGCCGTGCAGCACGCCCGTGTACGTGTTGCCGAAGGAGGCGTTCCTGGCCGCCCTGATGTCCTCACGCAGGTCCCACCACCACACCTTGGGATATAGATCGATTCACATGATCGATTCGTTGATCGATTTTCACAAATCGAAATTTCTAATTATTTATACCTGAAAATCTGTTGGCCTTAGTTCTGGGTAATCTATCCATGTATATATCTATGCCATAAACCATATTAACTGTACTTCATCTGCATGGAAAAGTAACGGCCATAATGCTGGCAGCTCTATCCATCTATATTTCTATGTCAAAAAACAGATGAACTCTACTTCATCTGCATGAAAAAATAACGGCCATAATGCTGCAGCTCTATCCATCTACATATCTATGTCAAAAAAACAGACTAACTCTACTTCGTCTGCCACATAAACTATTTGTTTACATAAACTTACATAAACAACGTCAACACTAATAGCGTATAGATATTTTAGGGCGTCGTCCTTAGGTTTATGATTAGGACTAGGGTCAGAACTAGGATTTATGACAATCTCATCTTCATCGATAGTATAAGACATTAGACTTACATCTACTTAATCGTCAAAACAAGGAAAATCTCACACAAAGACCAACATTGTAAGGCTATAATTGATCAATAGAGTGTTTATGTCAATGTAAGGCAGAGGCGTAGCGACCCTTCCCGGCGTCCGCAGACAAACTTTCGATTTGCACCCCCCCCCTCCTCAAGATTTCGATTTGCACCCGCCCTCAAGATTCCGATTTGCACCCCCCCCCCCCTCAAACTTTCAATTTATTTTTCCAACCCATTTTGGCGCCCCCTAAGGTTGACGCCCGGGGACATGTGTCTCCCCCCCCCCCCCCCCGCTACGCCTCTGGTGTAAGGTCATCATCAGAGTCTCGAAACAAACCAGAACATAGTTCCCGTCTATAACATTTTTCCCAAACACTACAGAGGTTATACGAGTTACATAACGAGAGAGAGTTACCGACCTTGTACCCGCGAATGGCCTCCTCCCCTGCATTGCCGGACACGCCCCTCCAGTACATCCGGACGCTTTCGTTGCCATGTGACATCACCGTGATGTATTCTGGGTAATTGTTCGGGGCTGAAAAAAAAAATCAAATGTAAATCATTTAGATAGTTTATACAAGTTGGAAGTTTTATATAAAAAAAAATTGCAAAATCGACAACGTAACCTTTGCCCATGCCACTGAGCTTATATTTTTATCTAGATCAGCAGTTTCCAAATATATTTTTTTACTTCGCATCCAGCATAAAATTCCAAAGATATCGGCAACAGTGTTTCTTTCAGACTTTTTTTTTTCATGGAGGAGGGTGGGGGGGGCGCACTTTAAATTGTCGAAGGGAGGCCGACTCAATTTCCCTGGGATGGGGGGGGGGGGGAGAGGCACTGGTAAAAGTATATATTTTCTATGTTATATAAATTCTATTCCGTTCAGCGTGGCCTAGAATTGAACACGTGATGCTGGGTTTAGCAGTTAACACCAAAGAGAGTATGGTTGTATGTTCAAAATTTTTTTTCAAATTTGAGAGCAAAAAAAAAAAAAAAAGGCGGGATAACTCTAAAAATTGAAACGAAAAGATTTGGCCTCACCAAAAATTGTTTTTCGAAAAAAAGATATTCTTAGGGCATGGTGGTTCCGAAATCACGAACTTGTGAATAAAAATCACACTTTCTACGCTAGACCACTACATTGTACCAAGACACCCCCCTACCCCCAACTTACGGGCCCTGTTCATGACGAAAGTGTAGATGTCCGTCTTGGGACCGATGCCGGCGTGATTCAAGAACTGGAGGTTGATGCAGTAGCGCAGGTCGGGCATCAGGCCGATGATGACGCCGGTGTCCACGTCGCCATAGAAACGGGAAAACATGGCCTGGTGCTCGTTGATGCCAGTACACAGGGTGGTCGGCTCCTCCCAGTAGTTGATCTAGAACAATAGTAGAACTATAGGGGCAAAGTTCTAGAACAATAGAACTAGAGGGCTAGGATCTAGAACAATAATAGAACTATAGGGGCTAGGATCTAGAACAATAGTAGAACTATAGGGGCTAGGATCTAGAACAATAGTAGAACTATAGGGGCTAGGATCTAGAACAATAGTAGAACTATAGGGGCTAGGATCTAGAACAATAGTAGAACTATAGGGGCAAAGTTCTAGAACAATAGTAGAACTATAGGGCTAACTTCTAGAACAATAGTAGAACTATAGGGTTAGGATCTAGAACAATAGTAGAACTATAGGGCTAGGATCTAGAACAATAGTACAACTATAGGGCTAGGATCTAGAACAATAGTAGAACTATAGGGTTAGGATTTAGAACAATAGTAGAACTATAGGGCTAGGATCTAGAACAATAGTACAACTATATGGCTAGGATTTAGAACAATAGTAGAACTAGGGGGGGGGGCATGGATATAGAACAATAGTAGAACTATAGGGTTAGGATCTAGAACAATAGTACAACTATATGGCTTGGATTTAGAACAATAGTAGAACTATAGGGCTAGGATCTAGAACAATAGTACAACTATATGGCTAGGATTTAGAACAATAGTAGAACTATAGGGGCAAAGTTCTAGAACAATAGTAGAACTATAGGGCTTACTTCTAGAACAATAGTAGAACTATAGGGTTAGGATCTAGAACAATAGTAGAACTATAGGGGCTAGGATCTAGAACAATAGTAGAACTATAGGGGCTAGGATCTAGAACAATAGTAGAACTATAGGGGCAAAGTTCTAGAACAATAGTAGAACTATAGGGCTAACTTCTAGAACAATAGTAGAACTATAGGGTTAGGATCTAGAACAATAGTAGAACTATAGGGCTAGGATCTAGAACAATAGTACAACTATAGGGCTAGGATCTAGAACAATAGTAGAACTATAGGGTTAGGATTTAGAACAATAGTAGAACTATAGGGCTAGGATCTAGAACAATAGTACAACTATATGGCTAGGATTTAGAACAATAGTAGAACTAGGGGGGGGGCATGGATATAGAACAATAGTAGAACTATAGGGTTAGGATCTAGAACAATAGTACAACTATATGGCTAGGATTTAGAACAATAGTAGAACTATAGGGCTAGGATCTAGAACAATAGTAGAACTATAGGGTTAGGATTTAGAACAATAGTAGAACTATAGGGGCAAAGTTCTAGAACAATAGTAGAACTATAGGGCTAACTTCTAGAACAATAGTAGAACTATAGGGTTAGGATCTAGAACAATAGTAGAACTATAGGGGCTAGGATCTAGAACAATAGTAGAACTATAGGGGCTAGGATCTAGAACAATAGTAGAACTATAGGGGCAAAGTTCTAGAACAATAGTAGAACTATAGGGCTAACTTCTAGAACAATAGTAGAACTATAGGGTTAGGATCTAGAACAATAGTAGAACTATAGGGCTAGGATCTAGAACAATAGTACAACTATAGGGCTAGGATCTAGAACAATAGTAGAACTATAGGGTTAGGATTTAGAACAATAGTAGAACTATAGGGCTAGGATCTAGAACAATAGTACAACTATATGGCTAGGATTTAGAACAATAGTAGAACTAGGGGGGGGGGGGCATGGATATAGAACAATAGTAGAACTATAGGGTTAGGATCTAGAACAATAGTACAACTATATGGCTAGGATTTAGAACAATAGTAGAACTAGGGGGGGCATGGATATAGAACAATAGTAGTACTATACGGGCAAGGATGTAGAATAATAATATAACTATAGAGGAAGGATCTAGAATAATAATACAGCTGAATAAGTTGCAGTGTTCTTGCACAAGGCTAGATATTTGTTAACTGTGACCTTTTCTAATAAGTCAAGGCCGAACCTTGATCTGACTGCTCGGCAAAGACTGAACCCTGACCTTACCTGATAGGCAAAGACCGAACCCTGACCTCACTTGATAGACAAAGACCGAACCCTGACCTCACCTGATAGGCAAAGACCGAACCCTGACCTCACCTGATAGGCAAAGACCGAACCCTGACCTCACCTGATAGGCAAAGACCGAACCCTTGGCAGACTCCCGGGTGTTGGGCACTGGTTTCCAAGTGACGGAGGTGGCGGTGCCGTTGATGATGTAGGCGCTGATAAACAGGGGGGCCACGTTGTTGGGCACTGGTGATGATGTTGGAGAAGTTAGACATAAACACACCAGCGATAAGTAAATATAGAAGTAAATGGGGGGTTGAGGTGGGTTGGGGTTGGCTAAGGGAGGGGTGTTAGTATGAACCGCGATGACGAAGAAATCATTTTTATGTCGAAATAAGGTGAATAGGAAGAAATTATCAGGGATAATTAATATGATAGTAAAAAATTAACTTTTTAACATCTGGGTTAGTTTTTACCAACATGGAATTTTGTTTTAGTTCTGGCATTACATTTATTATATTTTATGGCAAATAAACAAACAACCCCCCCCCCCCCCCCCCCAAAAAAAAAACAACAACAAAAAAAAAACGTACGAATGTACTTATTAATGTTTTACATACATCCCGTTGAAGTTATGATAAACTGAAGGCAAGAAAATTAATCTCAAAACTCTACTGAACATTTAATTAACTGAAGTTACAAGGAACGCTTACTCTCCTCGGCCGAGTAGACTATCTCAATGCTTGAGTTAGGTCCCTTGCCCATGTCGTTTACCGCCTGAACTTTGACCTCGTAAGGCAGATAATAGTTTTCACTTCCGACTAGTTGTTCTATGGTATGTGCTATAATTTCCCCTGTCTGTGAATGTAAGACTAAAACTTACGGAATTTTTTTTTTAGTATTCCTACCTGCAGAATACATGCAGAGCAGAGTTTCTTCCAGGCATCGTTTCGGGAAAGGGAGGAGGCGGTGAGGGGGGGGGGGGGGGTGGGGGTGGGGGGGGGGTGGGGGGTCGGCGTGGTCGAGTCGGTAAAGCTCATGGTTGCTAAGTCTCGAGTTCGAACCCTCGGGCAGATGAGGCTCGTTTGCTGGGGACAGCAACTCTTCTAGGAGAGACAACCCCAAAATCACACATGGCGCATAACCAGTTGACACGCATCCCCAACCCCCTGGCAGATAAGACCCGATCCCCTCCAACACTAAAAATTAAGAACGAAGAAGAAGAAAAAAGTCTACCGCCCCCCCCCCCCCCCCCCGAACGAATTGAAAATTATATAGAAAATATATACTTTTAACAGTGGCCGCCCCCCCCCCCCCCGAAGAAAGTCCACCGCCCCCACCCCACCCCCGAAAAGAGTTCGTAAGAAACACTGATGCAGAACGTTTATCTAATACCTTATAAAAACAGCTTATTCTCAGCCTACGACATTTCCAGCATCCCTTATATTGTGGTGTACAACTAGAAATGACTATTTCACAAAATTTAATGACATTTCATTACTACCTAAATTTACTAATCAACATTTAAACAAGTAATTAAAAAAAAGTCTAGTGACAATTTTAACGCAATTTCCTTGTGTTATCTAAAAATAGCTCTGTCGTAGCGTAAATCAAGAGCAGGGTTAGTAAAACCATTGGTTAGTTATTAAAACGTTTTTTATTAATTTTTTTTTCAGTATTTTACATGTTTTATTTACAATAGAGTAACATGACTAAAAAAACCATTGCACGCCCAGCTACCGAACGTGACGTCGCAGCCATTGAACGTGATGGCGCAGCTATTGAACGTGATGACGCGTGTGGTGTGGTTGCATAAAATGCCTACTAATTCGGTCCAAATTTTAATTAATTCAAAATTTTTTTTTGTGACCAAACGAAAGGATATTTTTGAAAACTTTCTTCGGCAATATTGTTCTAAATTATGGCAGGAATCGATTGGTACATGTTTCAAGTCGCTAAGTTGTCTGGTTGCCGAGATATGGGCAAAAAACTGCATTTTTTTCGAGTTTTTTTGGCTTTTCCGGGAAATCCATGAAAGAAACCCGGAATTTTTATGGCCTATGTTCATCCTCGTAACTTGCTTAACATAATTGTTTTTGTAACTAGTCATCGATATTGCTTCGTTGAGGAGGAGATACGACTTAAAGCTGCGGACACACATCCATACATTCATTTTTCCATCCATCCAGAAATGACGGGTTAATAAACGCAATTCTCCAGAATGGAGATTGCGCTAAAAAAAAATAACTAAGGTAATATTCATTTAATAGCTAAAATGAGACATCCCTACTCCAAAATGACGTCAACGTAATTACTTGTTACAATATTGACATTATATTTTTAGTTAGTGGCGTAGCCAGGATCGTCTCGGGGGCGGGGTTAAAATTTGTTCTATCATTATGCATACGCCACTGTTTTTAGTAATTATTAATGTTTAGAAAATTACAACTGGAAAACTCTTGACGAAGTCACGTGACTTACACTCTGCCACTTGCCGTCTTTATCACGGTCATCACGTGACCTAAAGTAGACGATGTACTTGACAGAGTTGCTTCCCCACAGGCTTCTGGGTAGTGGCTGGGGAAAATAAACCCGTTATTTTCAAAAAAAAAAAAAAAAAATAATAAAAAAATAAAAAAAAATAATTCTACTTTGCCTATATAGCAAGCAAAATTTGCACATAATTTGAAAAATTTGAATTTTAAAATCTATTTTTGTGTACAAAGACAGAATAATGCTATGTTATATGCTTTTTTGTAGGATAGTTAGCTTAATTACAGGGCAAATAATGTTTTAGTGATCTGTTACAAAACTGTCAATAGTTCAAATAGCCATATAAAACTATCACAGGAACACAGAGATACGAAACTATTCAATTGTCAAAGCGCGACCATAAACAATTACAAAATTAGTTTTAAAAAATAGCGAATCACTAATACGATAGTGCAGCGCAATCACGACCATGAACTGTTTGGGGGTTAGATTAGGTTTGCCTGTCGCCCCTCCTGGGACATAAGTAGTATATTAGGTCACTTTTGGGTCGTATTTTTGGCGGAGGAGCGCAGGCGCAGGCGCAAAGGTTATATAGTAAAATACTCGGAGGAGCTGCCGCAGCCTGCCGCAGCCTGGGACAATGAGATATAGTAAAATACTCCCAGCCTGGCGCAGAGGCTGGGTGAGGAGCGGAGGGTGAAGGCGCAAAGACATATAGTAAAATATTACGCCAACTGGTGTTGGCGGAGGAGTGAAGGGTGAGTCACCTTTTGGTGACCTTGTGACGTAATCATTGACCTTGTGACGTAATTAGTGACCTAGTTACGTAATTTTAATGCGTTTTTAATGAGTTTTAATGAGTTTTTTTAAATTTTAATTAATTTTTATTATCGAGTTACGTAATTTAATTACTTTGTATTTTTATTTTGTTTAATTTGTTTGTTTACTTGTTGTTTCATTTAATTACTTTGTTTATATTGTGTAATTTTTTATTAACGAGTTACGTAATTTGATTATTTGTTTACTTTTTAATTATTTTTATTTTGTTTATTTTGTTTGTTTACTTGTTGTTTAATTTAATTACTTTGTTTATATTGTGTAATTTTTTATCGACTAGTTACGTAAATCGATTATTTTGTTTATTTTAATTTTAATTTTGTTTATTTTTAATGTAATTTAATTTTATAATTAGTTTGAATTTAATTTAATTACTTTGTTTATATTGTGTAATTTTTTATTAACGAGTTACGTAATTATTTTAATCTATTATTTGTTTGAAATTCATTTTAATTAATTTGATTTTAATTACTTTGTTTAATTTAATTACTTTGATATATTTCTTTTCTTTGTTGTTAAATTTGTTGGTTTGTTTATTTGATTGTATGTATGTTTAATAGTAAACGGAGAGGGGTGGTCAGGGATTGTGAGGGATGGTCGGGGTTGAGGGTAGGGGTGTGCTAGCATGTACTAGAACAGTCTTTCTATAACAGCCATTAACCAGCCGTCCAACACAACGAAAGTGTACTTTGTGTATAACATTCATTAAAGATAACGATCAGGCGACAGTGGTGTTACTTATCGATCCGTGATCCTTTGTTGACACGCGCTGCGCTTTTAATGGGAATGTATTGATCGCACCCACGGAGCCATCGGGACAACGGGCGCGTTAATATTGATTCCACACACGGCCATCAAATGATGGTCCGCCTAATTAATTCGGTCATGCATCGTGGGTTTATGTCGACTACAAACATCCATTAGAGACACCTGTTACTCGCTAAGGGCACCCGACACGTATCGATCCACATGCGATCCTTTGTTCTTGTCAACCACCGTACAAGGGCCAAGTTAATATTGATCGAACCCACTGACCATCAGTATGATGGTCCACCTATGTGTAATTTTTATTAACGAGTTACGTAATTTGATTTTAATTTTTTAAATTTTTAAATTTTTAATTTAATTTTATAATTAGTTTAATTATTATTAACGAGTTACGTAATTTGATTTTAATTTTTTTAAATTTTTAAAATTTTTTTAAATTATTATTTTTAAATTTTATTTTTAATTGTTGTTTACTTGTTGTTTAATTTAATTACTTTGTATAATTTATTTGTTTGAAATTCATTTTAATTAGTTTGCTTTTAATTTCTTTGTTGTACGCCGTTTGAAATAAAAGACTAACACTAGAGTGTACTAGAAAGTGTCATTGTGTATAACATCCATTTAACCACAGCTGTTACTTATTAGCGACAGCTTGTACTTATCGATCCGCCCGTGAGCCTCCCCGGCGCTCCCCGTGGTTGCTTAATAGCGGACTCACTGAAGCGATCACAACAGGTAATTAATCGAAACCATTAAGTCCCTCTCCGCGTTAAGTGTGGCGACAGCTGGTGCTGTAATTAGTCACGGCTCTCGGCTTTTTTCATTAGACTTCAGCTGTACATGAACTATGTTCACATATCGTACGCCCGGTCATTCTTTGATCAAATTAAAAAATTTTGTTTCCACATGTCCTGCGAACCGTCCCTTGCTATGTATGAAAGATTAATGGTTGTAACTATTCGCTTATAGCGAGGGTCAGCGAAAACAAAAATATATTTAAGGGTCGGAATTTTCTTTCAACCACCGTTAAGTCAGGTTTTGAGACGAAACGAAGTCTCGGTAGGTTCGTGTTTTTTAATGGGCGACAGGGCGACTTGATGCGTTGGTACGTAGGTATGCGGGGTTAAGGTTCTATAACTCTATATATTTAAATACGTTTTTTTTTTTATTCAAATGAGTTTACTCCCCCTAACGTAAGTACATGTAAAGAGGGATTTCCTATAGATCTGTAATGAATTAGGCCTTTTTGACTATGACTTGTTGCCCAGGTGTTGACATGATACGCTTTTTTGAGATATACACACACACACACACACACACACACAAACACACACACACACACACACACACACATGCGCGCGCGCGCGAAATTCATACTAGGTCGGTAATGGCGGAGAGAACTTATAGGTATACATTATCATGGCGACAACAAAAGCGACTCTTATTTTATTTACATGAAAGCGTGTTTTCCAAAAAGTGTCACCATGCCATTGTCATTTTCGCAGCGGGGTTTATTTTAAGTGTACCCCGTGCACGGTTGTTTACATTTTAAAAGACGTGTCGCGTGTCTTCCCCTTACCGCTTCCCTAATAGAGAAACGAGAGGAAAGACAACTGTTCTAAAATTAGAACAGACTTGTCTACACACACGAGTATCGTCCCTTGTGAAAAAAAAAAAAAAATTCGCGTCAGATTCCTTAACTAAACAGTCAATTTCTTTAACAAGTTAAAAAATAATTTAGGAAGACAAGGGTTAACAACATTAGACGCTACCGTTTTTGTTTCCTGTGACGACAAGGCACAATACACTTTTGTATTTTATGTCTCAAGTAGAGGGTGGGATATTTTTTTCTTTGTAAGCGTGTTGTAAACAATGGGTAGAGGAAGCGATTACTAGGTAAGAGGGGAGAGAACGTGACGTACATCGCGATATTTGAAAACATGGCGATGTTTAACCTCAACCAAAAAAGGCAATGAACCTAGAAGGAAGACGAATATATATCTTAGTCTTGCAGCAGATTACCTTCCCATGTTCGCTTTAGTATTACAGTTTTCATCAATCTTCTTTTTGACTTGAACTTCTTTAATTTTTAAGAAAGTTTACTTATACATAATACATTACGTCTAATGACAATTTTTTTATTTTTACCACTCAATGTATTTTCTTTTTCTATACCTTACATTGTCATCTTAATTTTTGATCACCTTAGTAAAAATTTGCTTAAGATTATAAACTTCAAGTTTTAAAAAACAACAACGTCGTGTCAAATGACACACCGTTTAAAATGTCTACATTTAAAGTTCACCAAAATAATGACGTAAAAACTAAATATCATATGACATTAGCATACATATCATTCAATCTAATCACTCTAAAGTACAAATCAATAATTTTTATTGATTAAGGGGCTGGGTGAGTTATTTTTTATTCGGGTGCCCAGGGAAGGTTTGGAGTTGGCTAGGGGCACCGTTCATACTAGAGTCGGTGACGTTTTCACCGAGGCAGGGTTCGAAGCTAGACCATACATGTTTTGGAATCGTTAGGGGTCGAGTCTATAGTAGGGTCGCGGGAGTTTTGTTAACACAGAGGGATGTTTCGAAGTTGATACATCCATGTTTTAGAATTGATAGGTAGAGAGTCCATACTAGGGTCGGTGAAGTTTTCACCGAGGCAGGTTACAAAGTTGGGACATGCATGTTTAGGAATTGTTGGCAGTCGCGTTCATACTAGGGTCGGTGAAGTTTTCACCGAGGCAGGTTACAAAGCTGGGACATGCATGTTTAGGAATTGTTGGCAGTCGCGTTCATACTAGGGTCGGGGAGTTTTGCTAACACTGAGGCATGTTGTAAAGTTGGTACAGGCATCCTTGGAATTGTTAGGGGCCGTGTTCATACTAGGGTCGGTGAAGGTTGGTTTTGAACTCGGAACATGTATGTTTTGGAATCGGTAGGGCTAGAGTTCATACTAGTGTCGGTGAAGGTTGGTTTTGAACTCGGAACATGCATGTTTTGGAATCGGTAGGTGTAGAGTCCATACTAGGGTCAGGGGAGTTTTTGTTAACACCGAGGTAGGTTGCAAAGTTGGTACATGCATGTTTAGGAATTGTTGGTAGCCGAGTTCATTCTAGTGTCGGTGAAGGTTGGTTTTGAACTCGGAACATGCATGTTTTGAAATCGGTAGGTGTAGAGTCCATACTAGGGTCAGGGGAGTTTTTGTTAACACCGAGGTAGGTTGCAAAGTTGGTACATGCATGTTTAGGAATTGTTGGTAGCCGAGTTCATACTAGTGTCGGTGAAGGTTGGTTTTGAACTCGGAACATGCATGTTTAGAAATTGTTGGTAACCGAGTTCATACTAGGGACGGGGGTGTTTTAACCGAGGCAGGTTACAAAGTTCGTACATGCATCATTGGAATTGTTAGGGAGAGTTAAACTAAGGTCGGTGAAGTTTTCACCGAGGCAGGTTACAAAGTTGGTACAT